GAGGATATTACAGAAACAGCGACCGCAACCCAAAAATCAGTCCTGGGTTGGGTTCCTGGTGAAGATGGCGCAAGGAACAAATTTGTTTTTATCGGCAGTTAAGATTACAGGAACTACATTCAACAACATATGTCGGATGATAATGCTCGTAACAAGCTTTTGTTCAGAAAAGGTTGCTAAGAAATGCAAACATTTGACGAATTTCCCCTCATTAACAATTGAGAATTCTGCTGATATTTTTGTAGAGATGTCATTAGGCCTATGTTCTGCACGCACAAATCTTTAATTAGCGTTTGTTACTTTAATTCTAATAATACATTTATCGTAATTATTATATATGATTTATAAACGTTTCCACAAATATTTTTTGTTATTCCTTGCACCAAAGATAGTCTGGATAATTTTAAGTTGTTTATCGATTTCCATAAGTCAGCTTAACTCTCAATAACAGTGTGAATTATTAATTTTTGTCGGTAATTGTTGCATTAAAATAGTGATTAAGCTATCCCCCGATGAAATTTCAAATGTTAATATTATAACCACTAACTTAACGACTTAAGGCAAAACAGTGTGAGTATAACGTATTGGACAACACTCCATCTTATTACGTTGTAACTCACTATCTTCAACAATATCAACATGAAGACAAAGCGAATCGATAGTGGGAAATACATTGGAGCCATTCGATGCAAGGTTTCTTAATTTTGAATGATAATGTGCGAAAAAATGAAATGTTTATTATTGCTAAATTTTATTGAAGTAGAACAGCGAACAAGCGAATTATTTAGGTCTTTTCGCAATTGGCGACGCCGTTATATTGCGGAGTGTTAAATTTGGTGTTGGCAGGCCTGGCCTATACGTATTTTAATTTTCGTATTATAGAACTCACGATGCCTGTGTGACTGCCGTTAACGTTTATCGCCTTTCTAAATTCTGCTGCTGTTTAAATGACGCAGGAAGAAACTTTGATGGTTTCTAGTGAGAATTTAACAAAAGGGATAGACTATTAGACATAATAAGAAACACGGCTGGGAAATACAAAGAGAACATTTGAAAGGCGACGTGTTTATATATGCTAATGAGGCACGGGGAATCTATATGCCATATTTTGTTTCCATAACATGTTGACGAAATGTAAATTGTGCGCTGTGTTTATGTGTCAGAAGATAGGCAGTGCCTGTTGTTCTGTTTGGCTCCTAAAGAAGAGAATAATAGCCCGGATAGTAAAACTGGGTTGTTTATTGTAATTAGCATCTGCCACGTTGATGCAGAAAATTGAGAAATACTTCTTTGTTCGTAATGTTTGAACAAATGCTCATGAGAGAGTAAAAGACAGTATAAAATGGCAAAATTACATTCTGATTAAATGTATAATTTGTAATGTTAACTAAATATTATTACGATGATCGAATGAAACAAGATGTGGTGGGCGAGACATGTAGAGCGCATGAAGGGAATAGGAAATTCGAACTTTTTTGGTTGGAAAATCTGAGGGAAGGGATCGCTTTGAAAAATAAATCATGCTTAAATGGAAGGGTGATGATAATTAATCTTAGTTAAATAGGTTTGTGATGTAATTTATCTGGTTCAAGATAAGGACCAGTTTTCGGGGTCTTGTGAACACGTTAATAAGCGTGGGGTTCCATAAAAGAGAGAATTTAAGTAGCTAAATGTACTATTAGTTTTTCAAAAAGCTCTTTACCCTATAGGCTTAGTTAAATTTCGACTGTGTTGTAAGAGAACGTACTGAGAAACAACAAGAACTTCGGAAATTTTGCGGTAAAAATGAACTGATTGTAGATTGTGTGTGGATGTTATATGGTTCATGTCATTTGGGAAATTCTGATTTGATGCAGGAAATGCATCGTAGGGTAACAAAGTTTTGGCCTTTAGCAGAAAATACATCTAGTGATATTAAGGTGACGGCCTAGACAAAGAGGGAGACGTATAAGATACTTCCTCCTTTTGTCAAGGGTCAAAAATCTTCGCCTAACGAAAAAGACGCATTTATAGAAATTGGGTTTCCCTAACTGTTGAACGGTTTAAATACGCAGACAGAAAGCGAAGAATTAAATAAAAGCAATGAATTCCTTCTCCCAGTCTGTCTTCTTCACAGTGTACTCTGTTTCTGAAGTTTCTGAGATCTGGGGTTTCCGCAGCCGCGAGGATGAAACTTTTCTTTTCGCTTTCGGAGCCACGTAGACTTGGAGATAGATGTCAACGTTTTCCTATCGGCCGGAACCTTTTCCCTCTCATCCATCGTCTGTGATTGGTATCTTCCTCTAACCCCTTTTTTCCAGCATCACCATTTCAGTCCTGAAAATGCTGACAGTATTTTCCCCGAAAAACTGGTGTATGTGTGTGTTTTTATATATATATATATATATATATATATATATA